CTAAGTTATAGTTTTTTGCTAAAATATAGTATATTATTTATTGCTTGTTTTTTCTTCTTTTTCAAAAAATAATTGAGTACATAAGGTGTTCTATACTTATAATTCGGTAAAAAGTACTAATATACCTACTTTTTACTATAAACTAAAAATTTTTAAAACTAAATTTAACTAAAAAGACTAAACTGACCATTTATTTTTTAACTCATAACAGGACATGGGTTTATTTATACTCTAAAAACTATAACTTTATACAATTAGTGTTCACTATAAAATTATATTCGGTATAGACGGTAATTATTAAATGCAACATATTTTTTTTAATTATTAATTACATTTGTCAGTGGATTAAATTTGCTGTAATAAAGTTGGTGATGATTTTAAATAAGAATAAAATTCTGCTCAAGTTTTTTATTGTTATCTTTGTTAACAACATCGCCTTTAGAACTCTGGAACCGTAAGTGTTTCTTTCAGACGTCCACAATTTATGCAAAATAAAAAAATACTCTTTCTACCGGAGCATTCGTACCAGGTAGACATAAAATATATTCGATTAAAAAAAACTATGTTGAAGATTGTTGACTTTGAATACTTCCATCCAACGAGTTACGGGACAATTTTGTGTCCCGGAGCTTTGTTTGGGGACAATGGGACAGGAGACCGAGAAAAGGGACAGTCCCGTTCAAAACGGGACGTATGGTCACTTTAGCTATAACCCGGCGACCATGAAGCAAATACAAAGTTAGTTTTTGTATTAGCTTCATGGTGGCGCAGTGGCTTAGCAATCAGTTGTTGCGCTGGGGGCCGCGGGTTCGAATCCCGCATGGAACAAGTATTTGTATGGCCTACAAATAATTGTTCCGGGTCTGGATGTTTGTCTTTGTGCAATATTTATGTTTGTAAACTGCCTCCACGACACAGGAGAAAATCCTAGTGTGGGGGTAACGTTTTTTTACAACTGAAATTGAAAGATTGAACCCTTATACTTCTTGTTGATTTTTGTATTACCTTTATTAAAGTTACCCTTATGTATAAATAAATATAATTACGTATGTAGAAATAAAATTGATTTTCATCCTCATCAATCATTGGGGTGAGGATAATAACTGCTAGCATAAGTAATAAGCAGGCTAAGTTACAAGGTGCTCAGTTCAAAAATTAGTAGGTAACTTTTCAATACGTGACACGTAAAAATTAACAATAATCAAAAACACATATGCGAAACATCCTATTTATTTATTTATTTTTTATTGCACCAAATATTTGTACAAAAGCCGAGCTATCTATTTATTTACCTATAGTGAATAGGTATCTTTTAAACTCACAATTTTCAATGCTTCAGTTTTAATATATAATTAATTATAAAATTTCATAATTAGATAATATATGAAAATACATAATTCTAATATAATGCAACTAATATATACAGAATAAAAAAATTAAAATACATTTATCTTTGTACGCTATGTGTATTTCCATAAAATAGTTTATTGATGTTGAAAAAATAATACTACTTTCGTACAATAGGTGGCGTCTTACATATTTCTTCCGGCGAGCCGCTCGCTACAGCTACGCTTAGGTCAAATGCTCAAGGTCGTTCGCATGGAGTAGCCCCTTAAAGCCACGACTTCAGAAGCTATTAAATTATGTAAAAATTATTTCATTCTCACACACGCAAATAGATACAGTGCATTTTTTTTATAAGAAGCACCAAACGAGCCTGCGACTCACCTGATGGTGTCCACCGCTGCCCATGACAACACCAGGGGAATTGCAGGTTCATCTCCGGCGGTGTAAAAAGAAATAAGCTCGCTTTTTGAAAGTATCTAATTCGTATCGGTCCAGAAAAATCGCAGGTGCTAAATGATTCCACAAAGAAGTCGTGCGAGGAAGAAAACTCCTAGTAAATCTTACAGTAGAGACAGCCAAGCATACAAATGGTGTGAACGGTATCGTGAGTTTGGTTGCGACGTGCGTTAGGGAAATTTCGCACCTAAAATTCATCCGAACAATTCCTAAGTGCACTCCCCGTGAATAATGCGATAGAACATGCAAAGGGATGCAGTATCTTTTGCAGTGCCAGTGAATCGACCAATCAGAATGAACTCGGTCGTTGAAGATTCGAGCCGCTCATCGGTGTACGCGGTCAAGTGAAATTAAGAACTTCCTCCTATTTTGAAGACGTTTAAAATTAAATTAAAGGATGCTGTTGTTATTAAACAAAACGCCAGCTCATTGGGACATTTAATTCATCCTATCTGCTGAATATACTACAACACACTGTAATATGGTAAAGTTACTCCACTAAACATTCTGTGATATTTTTTTTATAGGACAAGAGTGACAAATGAGCACACAGTTCACCCGATGGTACGTGGCTGCTGTGGCCCATAGACATCTACATCTATCTTCGATTAAGAATCAAAATGCAGATGCGTTGACACCCGTGAGGACTAAGATGGAATGCCTCGTTTCCAGTAAAAAGGGTCTCCGGTCCTCTACATTAACCATACGAAACACAGCAGCGTTAAGTTGCTATTTTACGCTGGTATTCTGTGAGTGCGCGGTCCCTCTCCGGCCGAGCCGACCCATTCGTGCTACAACCATAACATAGCTGCAGCATGGCTCTACGACGTACGTCTTAATGTGATATAAAATCTCACAATAAGACGGGCTCCTTACATCAACTTTATCACAGCCAGAACGAACAAACTAAAGAAGAAATAGCAACGTCTATAATTACCTAATACACTTTACACAAGTTAGAAGAAACTAATTAATAAACATATATAACATTTAATATTTATAATTTAATAAAATAATTTATAATCACAAATCTGTTGGCGCGAATGCTTTATAAAATTGACAGTAATCTCTAGCTCATTACGAATATACCGAAGCCGATGTGTGTCAATCAAGTGCAAGCAATCAATGTTCCCACTACAATAACAGCTTGTTACAGGCTTAACGCTACGGGGTTTCCATTACCTTAATTTACTCGATAAAAACCGTAAGTACATGAACATCGAGTCGCGCGGCCATGTTTAACCTTTGACCCACGCGCCACAGGCACTTGCACTTAGCGAATTTCAAACGTATTTTAAACCTAACAACTTCACTTACGTTATATTATGGAGACTATTAAACTTTTTATTTATTATAATGCGAAAAAACTTTATGTACGTAATAGAGCCACACTGCAGCTATATTATGGTTGTATCACGAAGGGAAGGACTACGCTCTCAAGGAATACCTGCATAAAATATCAGTTTAATGCTGCTATGTTTTTTATGGTGAGTTTAGAGAACCGGAGACTTACTGGAAACTTTTATCTTAGTGTCAGGGGTGACAACGCATCTGCGCTTAAGAATAAAACGATCTACGATAGATGTGGATTTATATGGACCACAGCATTCACTTTTTAATCAGGTGGACTGTGTACTTTTTTGTTACACTTATTCTGTATGAAAATAACAAAGGTCATTACGTAAAAAGTAAATTTTTTTTGGTTTTTATTACATTAAATAAAAACCACATAGGTATGCCATTTACATTCACAGCTTTTCACTGGAAAGAAGGTGTTCCATCTTAGTCCTCACGGGTGACAACGCATCTGCATTTTGATTCGCAAACGAGGATGGATGTAGATGTCCACAGCAACCACTTACCATCAGGTGGACTGTGTGCTCGTTTGTCACCCTATCCTATAAAAAAAATGTTGAAATAACAGCTTTTTACTATATGCATATGAAAGTGTATACGGAACTTATAAGAAAAACACGATTTTTTAAAATTTTGTCTTTCTGTCTGTCTGTCTGTCTGTTTGTCTGTTTGTTCCAGCTAATCTCCGAAACGGCTGGACCGATTTCGACCGGACTTTCACTGGCAAATAGCGGATGTTATAAGAAGTAACTTGGGCTACTGTTATTTTAGAAAAATAATTAGGGTACCGCGCAAAAAAATTAAAACCCATGAAATCCATTCGTAATAAATTACGCGCGGGCGAAGTCGCGGGGAACAGCTAGTAGAATAATATAATTACATAATAAATTTGTAAATATATATTACAACACAAGATATTACGTATATAAATAATTTAAATATTACATTAGTTGACAAAAATAAATAACGTTACATTTCTCTCTTTGCAAATAATTAATAAATAATTCTAAACCGAACCTAAATACTAAGTCTATGACTGTCTACTATTACACTTTTTGGCGAAAATGTCATTTATTTGCAAATATTACGCATTTGCTTGTGTGCATATGGACAAACGTAATTATAGGCCGCTTATGCACTCATTCATTGTGTTGTTGCTTCAATTACAGAATAAAAAATAACTTCAATTTCGAACGGAATTTTGAATGACACTATCACTCTCAGTCTAATTACTCTATGTCTGGAAATTTCTACTTTATTATATTACCAATATCTAGCAATAACAAAATCTGTTCAGAAAAGTTATGTCAACTAAATTTATATGTAGAAGTTGTTTAAAAACCAGGTTCTCTATTCAACGCATTTTTTTAACGAAGTTATTTATCGGACGGTACGAATTTGGCGGATGGTAACTATGTAGATTTGACATAACATGTGCCCTACGGTGAAGGAAAACAGCGGGATGTAGATTCCCGCATGCCTTGGAAGTTAAAAAAATATATTTTGAAGACATGCGAATTCTACCAACACGCATTGGGGCAGCGCGGCAGACTTTCCCTAGCCCTAAAACCTCCTCAGAAATGAAAGGAGGCTTGTGCCCACGAGATAGACGTAGTAGGCTGTAATTTTATTTTTTGTTTTTACTTAGATGAAATTCTCGTTATTACTTTAAAGTTGTGATATTCATTTGACCACTCAAAAGAATAAAAAAATTTACTTTTGGATAAAAAGTAAAAACTATCTCTAAAAACTAAAAAGAATGAAATAATTTCATACACTTACACTACGTCTAAGTACCGTCGGTTTTCACTTTTTATAAAAAGTTTAATTTTATAAACTACCTTGGTAAACATTGTCGTTCCTGAACAGATACACCACCACCACAACTCCGCGAACACGGTCCCCAACTTCCCCACGCACTCCAAGCGTAGGCACTGCTTAAGGAATCTTCCATAATCTGAAATGTAATGCATAAAAGAAAAACTTTAAAATATATTTAAAAAAAACTGCTAATAGATAAGGCCCGACTGTCCATATTTCCGATCGAGCAAAGCGTATGACGTGATATGACAAATATATTATGTACACTTTTGAATAACAATGTACTGTGGTTTTGTAAGAGAATATATATTATTTCGTTCTGTTGTCCGGTGCCGGCCGCTCAAGTTGTTTTCCCCACGCTACACCAGTTCTTCCCCTTGAAATAACTTTAGAAGAATAGTAAGTAGTAGTGAGTAAAAAAAGTAATAGATACTACTAAGTATAGAGCAACACGGGCCACCGGCGGATCGGAGAGGAGTAGCTGAAGCGTTTTTTCCCGATACAGAAATGTCTATCATTTTTGCAAGGGGAAATCTGCGCATACAAAAACAATCATCTGTTATTACGAAACTCACACATGCCAATTAAAACAATAAACTAACAATTTCACACACACACACACACACACATAGATACACTTGATAACAGTATCGCTCGATGACTGCGAAAACTCAAATACAGATTCAAATCAGTTACGACCGATCTGCATATGTATGAGGGCAACTAGAATTAGTCTAGTGAACAGTGCGGCTGCACCTAGTTTTATTTTTCGCATAGGACTGCATGGACTTATACTTTGATACAGGGGAACGCCTGCGTATGACTACCGCCCCCCGGTCTACGGGTGGCCGGTGTTGCTTTATGCTACTAAGCATTTAACATACGTAAATTGCACATAAACAAACAGCAAGATTCGAAACAATTATTTGTAATTGTTCCACGCAAGATTAGAACACGCGCCACAGCTCGCAGCATCGCAGCCAAACAGGCGTTGAATTATAACCATCGTTGACTTCATGCTTTGTGACATATTCTACCAGTCTCGCTGAGTAATATATAAAATAATATATTAATTATACGTACGATGCATACGCTTTTAATTTACTTAAAAACTACTTACTACGAGTAAGATAGTCCTAGAAATATAAACACATATAAAATAGGAAAACGGATATGCTTAGTATATACAAATCAGCATGCTGAAGTATCAATGAGCCAGCCGTTTAGCTCAAGGAACCGACAATCGATAGGGGATAAATTAAAAATTTTCTACAGCCGACTTCAATATAAGTTATTAAGAATAACTCAAAAACTATTGGTCTGACCTTGATCAAATTCATATGGGACCACACGAAAAGTACCAGCTTTCAAATAAATAAAGAATCATCAAAATCGGTTCACCCAGTAAAAAGTTATGAGGTAACACACATAAAAAAATACAGTCGAATTGAGCACTGTCTCCCTTTTGGAAGTCGACAGAAAAAGGTTCTGGAGCGGCAGCCTCATACGAATTGTAGTGTGGCCCTCCACTTAATGGAGTGACGACCCTTGGGAGAGGCCTATGTTCAGGAGTGAATTTTTAAAAGGCTGTCATGATGATATAAGAATAGATTTACCTGCAAAGTATCGACGGTGATATTTGTTGCCATGGTGAACATCGTGAACTGCATAACTACGGCCACCCTAAAAATAAAACTTACATGAATCTTCCACATATTAAAAAACACTAAAGTATATTATATAACTATTAAGACATGACGTTTTTCATAGAATAGAGGCTGACAAACGAGTATACAGTCCACTTGATGGTAAGTGGATGCTGTGGCCCAAAGACATCTACCTTAGACATTTATCTTCGATTAAGAATCAAAATGCACTTGTCACTCCTGAGGACTACGATGAAATGCCTCGTTTCCAGTAAAAAATGTCTCAGGTTGTCTACACTCACCATACGAAACAGTAGTATTTTGCTGCCATTTCGGGCTGGTATTCAGTGCGGAGGTGGTCCTTCCCCAGCCAAGCTGCAGCCATAATATCCTAGTAGCTTTAAACATAACAATTTACGTGATAGAGCGACGCTACCTATATTATCACATCTACGAGTAATTCTGACTTTTACGGGCTGGTGTAGTTTACCTTTTCAGTTGATTACGCAATAAGAATTAAAGGCAATAGTGTTAAATGTTATATTTTTAATAATTATTAATTATCTACTTTTCTAGCCTTTTTACCCCGATTACAGTTAAAGAAAAGGGTAAATAGGTTTTGTTAATCTGGTTATTAGTGCTTTCGATAAAATTTGGCAGTAATAGCGATGAAGACACCTATAATTATTAATAAAGATCGTTATTATTTATTTTTTACGCGGTAGAGCCACGCTACAACTATATCATGGCTGCAAAATCAATACCCCTGTCGAGTCAACCCACCCGACCTGGGTAGAAAAACAAGGTCTCACAGAATACCAGCGGAAAACAGCAGAATAATGTCTTGTTATGGTGAGTGTGAAGAATTGGAGACCCTTTTTACTGATAATAAGCATCCCACATTATTCCTCAGGGGTCTTGACACGTCTGCATTTTCATTCTTTATTGAGGCTAGATATAGATGTAAATGAGTCACAGCATCTTTTTACATCAGATGGACTGTGTGCCCGTTTGTTGCCTTTACTCTATAAATAAACATTTGATAGAGCCATGCTCCGACAGAATCATCACATCTAATCATGACTTTTATGGTCTGATGAGGTCTAACTTTTTAGCTAATTACAATGAAATTACAGTTGAGAAAAGGGTAAAAGAGTTTTGTTAATCTAGTTATCAGTTGTAGCGTGGCTCTACTATGTTAAAATTAGGAATTTGTGGCCATAATGATATCATTTTTATAATTATTTAAAAAACCAATACTAGCAATGCTATTATCATTACTAATATTCCCTTCAATCATTCCTGGTTTTCACTCTCACTTTACGACCGTAGTCGAATGACGGATACAAACCCACGACCTTTTGAATTCACGGTTCGCACCCTATCATTAAGCTACTGTCGCTTTAGTCAATAATAAGCATAATAATTCGTAATCACCATCATCATCATCACCATCAACATAATCCCTCATATCAAACAACGTCAACAAACGCAGGTCAAACGCACAAACATATACAATCATCGATATATAAGTACTATGTACTAGATTTCGCATTCCGAACATACACTATGTTCAACTAAACTGTACTGCAATCAGTACAGTGTGATATTTAGTGTAGTTTCAATCTACTAGTTAGTCTGTGGTTTCAATATACATGCAGTGTGGCGCGGCGCTAATAATATAAGATTTCAAATTAAAGTTTAAATTTAAAACTGACCGCGCAGGCGCAATGTGCTTAAATCAACTGCGCATGCGCGACTCTACTATCTCCCGCGCATGCGCGAAGACATAGAGTAATGCACATTGTTTAGAATGGCTTCTCTAGTACATAGTACATATAACTCAATGTATACTATGCTTTGGTCAAAGTTTATATTAACAAACAATAACAAGCAACACCCACTCGAATTATTGTCTTCCTCAAACAAGCAGAAGCTCGGCATAGCTTTAGCACATGACACCGTGGGTGACTTTATGTGACACGGATTCCTTGTCTTTACAAGTTACTTTGCTTTCACGAACCTTCATAATGCAGGGTTGCCTATACGTGACTTTGTGTTTAAATTTGTATTCGCAACCAATAATCGATAAGGCAGAAAGATTCTTGAATACTAGGCACATATTAGCAAGAGTTTTGTGCAACATTTCATTAAATTGAGTAAGACCTGATAAAATGAAGATCTTCGTTCTGCAGTTGATGTGTTAATTGATGCTGTTAATCATCTAACAGACACAGTGATCGTGTAACTCCTGAACGATTTGAACGATTGAAGTCATATTCAAACTTTAAAACAACATGTTTTGTTTATGAGGTCTGATAGATGTCACTCTTGTTAGTTTATTAACAAATTGTCTATTTGGTGCATAACCAAGTTACTGATATTCACAATATCATATTATGTTTGTTAGGTCTCAAAAAAATCACAATATCATGATCCAATAGATGGCGCTGTGGTCAAGTTAGCAATAAATTTGAAATTAACACTCCACCAAGACATCCTTGACCGTTAATACCAGTTTTAGATCATCTATTACCTCATATCGTCCCGTGGGTGTCATAAGGTAACAGAAGTAAACCGTGAGGTGGGCAGCAGCGTCTTCCTAATAACAACAAAAAAATTTGCGGCTGTCAGCCCACCAGCCAATTATGACAACTCTATGGCAAATTCCCCCTTTGAGGCAATCATGGAAGAGGCCTATGTCCAGCAGTGGACTTTTAATAAGCTGTAATTATGATGCTGATGACTCAACCAAGAGACTGAAGTAATTAAGAAATCAAACTCAGCACAACAGCGTCTACCAGACCACCTAGTAGTGCCTATAACCTAGTTCACTCTTTTCAATAAGGACAAGTGTTAAAATTAAAAAAATTTCAACAACCGACTTCAAAATATAGAAATAAAATGAGAACATCAGCAATGTAGTCCAAGTCAATTAAATACGCATTTTTAAGGATAACTCAAAAACTGCTGGTCAGATCTTGATTAAATTATAAAAAAGAATAATCAAAATCGGTTCACCTAGAAAAAATTTCTGAGGTACTCGTAACACACATAAAAATATAGAAAAAATACAGTCGTATTGAGTAGGTACCTCGTCCCTTTTTTTGACGTCAATTAAAAAATTAATTAAATCAAAGAGGTAAATATTCTAAATACTATAACTATTACTTCTTCAATTTAATTTATAATTTATAATTATTTTCTTTGAGCCTTAGTAATGGCAGGGGATACAAGTAAGTGTTTGAAATATGATAATATGCGAGCAAACTAAGTTGGATCCCTAAACCATATAAATTGCAATAATTAAAAGTCCTCATTTACCGTGTACTCAGGGGTATGGAAAAAATTGTGAGGAATAATTCTACATGAATGACAAATAATCGAGGACATGTGAAGACATTAGGGCACCGCGACTGTCACTTTTTCCTAAAAACCCCAAATAAAAAGAAACCTTTTTCTGTATAAACGTACCTTACAAAACTAAAATAAAAAAGTTACTGCTGTTCTCGTATAAATGTTGACAACCCTGAGGGGTCACGGGCACCCACGCAGTTCTCACCGAGTTGCGCAAGCTGACAACTCCATTAGACGTTTGAAGCTGGGACGATACGTATTCGACAAGCGCCGAATGCACCCGCATCGCACTCCACATTAAAACGATCAAACGACTCTGTAAAACGCCCTAATGAACATCTTAAGTGGTTTATTAAGTGCCGATCGCCGTTATTTTTATGTTAATACGCGCCTTCGACCCACAAAGCCAAAAATGTGGCTCTGTAAATATTGCTTTAATGTTTATGACGGTACAATGTTCTCATGTAAGAATACGATCGCAATTTCTTCTATGTCTGCTATTCTTAAGTTATAGATATCAATTGGTGTCCATTAAAAGACTTGTTAAATAATAGTAGTCATAGACATTGCTAAGAATGCATCAGCTGGCTTGCTACCTACTAGAACATTTGCCTAATATTCACTACTCTGGATCAGTTCATATAGCCTAGTATAAAATAAAATTCCCTTTCATAATAAAGTACTACATTCCTCTTCAGCAGCTCGTAAAGTCAAAAGCTGCTTCCGTTGCAGAGAGGATTTTCCTTAATCACCACGCTTGGCATGCGAATTGGCAATCACAGATCTAGATGCCAAACTGGAAACCATGAGATCTTTGTAAAATTGGGGTGATGGATTACATTAATGGAATGATTTTAAATATAAGAAAACTCTTTCATTTATAGGTAAAAATTAGCAAACCATAACTGATAGTAACTGGATGACAGATGCTGTGTCCCAAAGACTACTGTGTATATCTATTCTCGTTTAAGAATCAAATCGCAAATGCATTGTCAAACCAAAGGAATAAGATGGAATGCCTCATTAATAGTAAAAAAGTTGTACACTGTTTTGTAGACACCAATTGTTCCGTCATTTTCGATAAGTTAAATCACAGAATTAAATATCAATCATAACGCCGGCACCTAAGTTCATAAGCACTCGCCATAAATTGCATTGTAAGCAGGTTTGCCGAGTTTGATCCGCGCCGGCAATAATAAAATTGTTAGGTGCAATTTTAAGTTCTATTTTATCACATAGTCGGCAATGATGGAAACTATAATGGAGAGAAACCTGCTGTTTGTGGAGTAATTATTTGGGTACTTTATTACGTGTTTAATTTTTTATACATATAAAAAAGAGCCGTGGTAGCTCAGATGGTAAGCGTTCGCTGTAAGCTTCCCAGTGCGCTAGCAATCCTGGTTCGATCCCCACCGGCACCAATGAAATTGTTAATTGCAATTTTAAGTGCTGATTTACCATGTGCTCAATGGTGAAGGAAAACATCGTGAGGAAACCTGCATGTCTGAGAAATAAGAAAAAATATTTCAAAGACATGTGAAGTTCGCCAACACGCATTGGGGCAGCGTGGCGGACATTTCTTGCCCTAAAACCCTCTCAGAAATGAGAAGGGGCCTGTGCCCAGCAGTGGGACGTAAATAGACTGCAACTTTACTTTACTTTATATAATTATTATTTTTATAAATAATAATTTATTCATTAAAAAACAAAAACGTTCCCATGAAAACACGTGTTATTTAAGCTGAAAGTTAAAAAGTAGTACAATAACAATTCATCTCGTCAAACTTCAAAATGACAATATTTATTTATCATTTGAAACGGTTATTATAAAAAGTTCACACGCGCTCAGGACATTGTTGCTACGACTGGACCTGACACTTGACCTTATTTTTTTAATCCTGTGTAAGCGCGTGCGCTCTCCGCTCTGAATGGAGCGCATAATTTTTATTTACTTTTACTCTCGAAGGAGTCTTGAGTGGACATGAAAAAAGGTTTACCGTTTAAGCACGTATAAAAATATTATTTGTTGTGAACAAACGTTACCTTAGCGGTCGGCGTGTGACAGTGGAGGAGTGTTGCGGCGTGTATACGCTGTCGTTTGACTAGTAAACAAGGAAATTTTTAAAGCAAATAATGTACAAATTTGATTGATATTTTCATCCACTTACATTACATACATTCACACAGTTTTTCTTAATTAATTGAATGTGATTGAATGGCATTTTTGGAGTTTATTGGAGTTTACTACTTAAGAATCGCTTCATATATAGCTCACGGTATGAAACATAGATGGACTGATGGATAATAAAATCAAGCGGTAAGTAAACGGCGGTTTCAACAGTGGTAGAGCCACGCGGCAGCTTTTGCTGTCGCACGGATGGGCTGGCTCGAACCGGGGTGGTACCACGACCTCACAGAAAACCAGCGTGAAGTAGCCGTTTACCTCTGCGTTTCGCTTGGTGAGTGCAGGTGGCCGGAGGCCCTTTTTACTGGAAATGAGGCATTCCATCTTAGTCCTCACGGGTGACAACGCATCTACATTTTGATTTGTAATAGAGAATAGATGTAGATTTCTATGGGCCGCAGCAATCACTTACCATCGGGTGGACTGTGCGCTCGTTTGTCACCCTTATCCTATTAAAAAAAAGCGTTAACAAAAAAAAAGTTAAAAAAGTTAAAAAGTGAAGGCGTTATGCTTTTCCTCTTCACACATATTTAAGAATCTCGTAGCGTGAAAGGAATAATTTAATATAAGTCACTAATCTGTTGGTCTATGTCGGTCACTCTGACAACAGATTAGTAAGCTGAAGCGGCAATGAGCCGGCCCTACATGGCCGAACAACCGACAACCGACGGGGAAAAAGGGTTCTCGAGTGGCGACTTCAAACCGACGGACAAAGTGTAGGGCGTCCCCCCACTAGATGGGGTGACGACCTGGTAAGACATGCAGGAATTCGATGGATGCAGGTGGCTCAGGACCGTGCATTGTGGCATTCCGTGGGGGAGGTCTATGTTCAGCAGTGGACTTGTGAACGGCTGTAATGATGATTATGATGATTTATATATATAATATATTTAATCAAATAAATATAAATAAATATGTGGGTCCATCTACTTCCTTTGCTTATCGTATTTTAAGACAATTGATTTTCAAGAGTAGATTAAGCGGACCCTGGGTTCTCCCGCGCTGGGCGGGATGAGCAACCGGGATAAACGCTAGGTAGAATAGGAAGATTTTCAAGAGTAAACACCAAAACTGATAAACCAGCACTTAAAATTGCAATTAACAATTTCATTGGTGCCGGCGTGAATCACACCCGGGTTGCTCACGTACTGTGAAATTTGCAGTGAGCACTTAGACCCTGAGCTGCCACGGTTCTATACAAAGCTTTGATGTCTCCCTTTGTTATGCTCAATTATACAAAAAAATAATTAAATAGTACTTAATATATAATCAAAGAGATTTAAATATATACTACTTAAATGTCTTTGTATATAATTAAAGTTCTTACAGGTTGTTGGTTCTATTTATTTATTCTGTGGTTCTATGCAAAAATACCTAAATGTGATTCTTATTACACAACTGCTGAAGGTAAGTCCGGCACAGTTAAAGTAAGCCACAATTGCCACGCTTTGCAATTATGGCAAACTAACCTAAGATGTTTTCTTTGACTCTAACCGTTTGTAAACGTAATATAAGGCGGTTTGTAAATTCGTCCATGACTGTCATGCTCAATTTTGTAAAATTTTGTGCAATATTCATATCTCTTATGTTAATTCAAAAGGCCATAAAAGGCTTTGACCGTGTAGGCAATGTAAGAATATCCACAACTCCATATGATCACGTGGGTATCGTAAAAGGCGATAGTGGGAAACAAATCAGAAGATGAGCAGCATAATTTTCCTAGTAAGGACTAGAAAATTAAAACACTGCGGTGGCCTACCCGTCTATTATGCGTAGCAACTATTGCAAATATGACTTTTATGGCCAAATACTCAAAGACTACTCAATTTTAAAACGTCGTTATGTCTCGTGGTGTCACAGTCACTCTGATTTAAAGTGATAGAGCCAGCAACAGACTTAACGGCATCTTAAAATTGAGTAGCGTTTTTTTTTATAGGATAATGGTGACAAACGAGCACACAGTCCACCTGATGGTAAGTGGTTGCTGCGGCCCATAGACATCTACATCTATCCTCTGTTACAAATCAAAATGTAGATGCGTTTTCACCCGTGAGGACTAAGATGGAATGCCTCATTTCCAGTAAAAAGGGCCTCCGGCCACCTGCACTCACCAAGCGAAACGCAGCGGTAAACCTCTACTTCACGCTAGTTTTCTGTGAGGTCGTGGTACCACCCCGGTTCGAGCCGGCCCATCCGTGCGACACTGCCCTGCACTGCCGCGTGGCTCTACTATCTACCACTGTTAAGCGTTAGCATTTGAGTATTTGGGCATTAATCAATCTATGGGAAGGCCTTTGTTCAGCAATGGACTTTGATAGGCTGTAATGATGAATGATGATGATGAATACAAAAGGAAATCTGGTGCACGTGTATTCAGCATTAAAAAATGTTATTGATAAAAAGGAACTTACCAAAAGGGTTTATTTATCCATAGCGCTAGTGTTCGTTTCGCCATTATTGTCACTGAAAACTTAGATTCCAGTACTTTAACTTTCCTTTGTCCATCTTAATATCACGACTACGAACATTTATAAATAAACTACGTTAAGCACTGACTGAATCAAATAAATGCATATCCAAATATTTATTTTAGTGGTGTTGGCATAATCTGAAACAAAGCAAAATTATTATTATTATAAAATTTTCTAAAAAAAAACTTTATCTCAATAAGAGCCGTGATAGCTCAAGAGCTGCGTGCTCGTCTTGAATGTTATGGTACACTAGCAATAGAGTTCAATCCCCGCCGGCACCACGGATATTGTGTTACCATATGCTTTCGCCGTTGATAGAATTTATCGCGAGGCAAAATTAAAAATGTTTTGGGGACAAGTAAAGTCTGACAACACATTTTAGGACAGCGTAGCAGATTCTCTAAATTATCCGGAACTTTCCGAAAGCTGTAACTGTTTTATTTCTAGTTAATGAGGCATTATCTATACATATAATAAATCTGTAGAAAAATTGTGTGTTCACGATTCACACAAAAACTACTGGACGGATTTTCATGAACTTTTATATGTAGGCAGTAAATGACCGTGTATAACATACAGGCAACTTTTTATCCGCTTAAAGAAAAGTAAAAAAAAAAAGAAGTATATTTTTCCTTTTTTTTCTAAAGTTTAATGTCATTATGGCTGCTGACGGTTCTATTAGTCCTAAAGAGGATTTAGTTGTACGAATAATAATTTACAGAAAAGTGTGTGTGTGTGTGTGTGAAAATGAAACTCATTGCGCCACCAACCAGTAAGGGCGGAATACCATCTGCCGGACTAGCTAGTATGAAATATTCTCGCAACGCTTTACAAACGTTGGAATCGAGATGGGTTTTTTCACAGCATAGTATAAACATTTACCCAGAGGAATAGGCAGAGACTACGGAATATCATTTGGCAAGATTCTAACACAAATATCTCGCTTCATTCTCGTCCATATTACGTTGCATATCGGTTAAGGGTACTCTTAATTTGGCCCATATAATATTATATTCGGTCAATTAACTTACGTCTCGAACGTCTCCTGGGTTTACTCCATGTATAAACCATCATTTTTGTACGAATGTTTCTATGGTTTATGTTTAAGTTTCTAGAAATACACTTCCGACATAGAGAAAAGTATTTTAAAACTAGCTTTTTACCCGCGGCTTGGCGTGCGCTTGAATTTAAGAACATAATTAAAATGTTATCAATGACTTGCCATTTTAGTTTATTTAGAAGTCTAATATTAGCGCCACCTACTTAGGTGGCGCTAATATTAGATGAAATTATGAAAGCCAAAACTGTACCATCTAGTCATATCAGCAACAGAAGCTAACATTTATTTATTATATCAATAAGGAATAAAGTGATGTCAATTCTCTTAAAAGTTCTGTTTCTGTTAAAAAATACGCTATCAGTGCCCCTAGCGGTGAAAAATGATTTAATGATAATGTCATTTGTCAACATTGCATTTTCATAATATGGTTATATAACCATATTATAAAAATGCAATGTAACGTTGTGTTTAGTTATTAATATCTTCAAACGATTTCTATTCATTGATTTGGTCAACAAATAGTGTTAAATATCATGAAATGACCACACCATTTCATGAAATGATAGACTACTTTATGATATATGTATTATCAATTCTCCGATCTGGCCACGACATACATAAAAATCTCTTTAGTAAAACTATAATGATAATGAAAATTTTGCAACAATTGCGGACAGACCAGTTTTAATTACTTTACATATATATATTAGTCATTGAAATAAATACCTTAACAATTTTCATACTTTTGATAGACGTCACTATTATCTAATGAAATTATTACACTTTTAAAATAAAATAACAAAAATACTAAAAAACTAAACGTTAGAATTTTTTAAATAATTTTAAAAATCTAATCATTTAATCATATAAATGTATTATTTATATTATTTTTCATTTATTAGTAACTGAAGGCAAAATATACTACTTCTTCCATTTGATGATAGATGGCGCTGTTTTGAATTCCAAATCGGTGTAGTTTCAAATTATTTTACCAAGATTATAACTATATTTTAAACTTTATTTACAAATATGGTTTTTATTTGAAAAACACCCGTCATCTCGCCTATATCTAATATATAATAGAAAATTAACATCTAAAGGAAATAGAATACATAACCTACCTTTTTTGAAGTTCCGTAATCGGATAAAAAGTAGCCTATAAGTTGCCCCGGGTTACTCACTACCTATATACAAAATTTCATGTAAATCAGTTCAGTAGTTTTTACGTGACTCCGGAATACAAAAACAGACAGACAGACAGACAGAAAGACAGACAGACAGACAGACAAAAATTCTAAAAACCACTAATTTGGCTTCAGAACCTTTTATTTAGTTCCCTAGACTTGGTTTTTCAAGAATATATTAGAATTACAGACACGACTTTGCTACAGATTTATTGTATAGAAAAAATATACGTATAGAAGATGTCACCTCACTAGACCGGCAGTTAGTAATCGAAGTGCTCGGTTAGCAGGTACATACCACAGATTAGTCACAATTTCTTTTTAAAAAAAACGATACCATCACACGACGATTTATCGTATCGTGGAGGCAGTTTACAAATATAAATTGCACGAGGACAAACATCCAGACCTGTAACAATTACTTGTAGGCCATACAAATACTTGTTCCGTGTGGGATTCATACCCGCGGCCCCCTGCGCAACAACTCATTGCTAAGCCACTGCGCCACGGAGCCGTCGTTCAATGTATTTGATTAATGTTTCATGTCTGATATCGCTTTCTGGTCTATCTGCGATCTCAGCGCAAATACATTATAAAGAACGCGAGACGCGAAGAGGTAGGACGCAGGAGCTTTAGAAGAATTGTGTGTTTGGACTAAAGTACAATAAATACATTTAAATCGTGAAAAAAAGATCGCTCCGTAAAACTACTCCGTGCCAAAGTACTCTTTATTTATCATCCCGTAAAAGTCCGCTACTGGAAGTAGACTTCGCCATGAGAAGAATTTTGCCATAATCATCACGCTTGGTGATCTTAAAGATATCTCCCTAATTTGATTGCATTATAACCATCCAATAGGTGTTTCTCTAACACCTTGAATTGGAGGCATAAGATAATCCACCATCCCATATCACCTCATGGGTGTCGTAAGAGCCTACAGAGGGAAATGAAACAGAAGATAGGTAGCAGCATCTTCCTGATAACGACCCGCCTGCCAAGCGTGGCAACTATAGTATTTTTTTATAGGATAAGGGTGACAGACGAGCACACAGTCCACTTGATGGTAAGTGTTTGCTGTGGCCAATACACATCTACATCTATCCTCGTTTGCGAATCAAAATGCAGATGTGTTGTCGGCCGTGAGGACTAAGATGGAATTCCTTGTTTCCAGTAAAAAGGGGTTTCCGGTTCTCTACACTCACCATACCAAACACAGCAGCGTTAAGCTACTATTTTACGCTGGTATTCTTTGAGAGCGTGGTCCCTCCACGGTCGAGCCGAACCATTTGTGCAACAACTATACCAGTAATATAGCTACAACATGGCTCTACCACGTACGAATAGAGATATCAGTAAGTTCAGCAGTGGTCTTCCGATGGGCTGTGATGAATGAATGAAGCTGTTTCTAGATTCTTAGCATATGGTCAGCAACCTAATAAAATCCATAACCTAGTAAAATTTAATAAAATCCAAGTTTATAACGTGTTTTTATTTCCGCTTTTATGGGCAGATCCGTACGTCACGTCTTCATTTACGGGAAGGCGTATAGTGGGTAGAGAAGATTTAATGATTAAGCGTTACTAGCTTTGATATTACATCAGATGGGTATCTGGGGTCAAAGTTTATCAGCTAATAAAATACCAAGCATCTTTATTTACAGCCGTACGATACGAAACGTGGCACTGGATTAATAAAAATATTCTCCAATAACAAAACAAACGTTGTTCGGATACCTGAGAGAGAGGAAGTAATAAGATAAGACACAAACAATCTCTCGTGAGAACAGTGACGCGCGTCGCGAGCTACATAGAATGAAAATACCGCTATTAGCTTCTGAAAAGTGAATGGGAAATGATACTACGCATTTTATTGTATAATTTGATCCGCCAATCAACACAAAGTAGAAGAAGTAGTAGTTTAATTTTTTCCTGACCGATTTCGACTGTGTGTGACAATTTTCGAATTCTTGGGGAAAACTCACATACGAGAAAATATTATAATTTAGGCTTATATGGTTTGTTTCTTTCAAAAAACGACGTTCACAATTCGATTGTATGTTTTTATATGTATGTTACGTGATATCCTCAAAAGTGTGGAATGAAATTTTTAATGCAACTATTTAGACAACATTGATATTGTGATATTTCTAAGTCCACCCAAAGGAGTAAAAAAAATTAAATTTAATAAAAAGTAAAATCAGACTTCATGGAACTAACAAGAATAACATAATTTCACATTTTGAAGTCGGGACTCTAATTTTTCTATATGTGAAATTATTATTTTTTTTATTCTTGAAGTCAGCTTTAACTGGCTACAACTTTTTACTATAAGTTAGTTTTAAGTCATAGATCTTAGCTCACTTTTACCCTATGTATAACTCATGTGATATCATTGAAGGGAGACTTGGATATAATGGTATAGTTACGAGAACAACCCGTTGGGATTTAATCTCAGCGTACCTTGAAGTTCACGTTATATATTACGTGATAGAGCCATGCTGCAGCTATATTATGGTTGTAGCGCGAATGGGTACTAGCAGAATACCAGCGTAAAATAGCAGCTTAATGCTGCTGTGTTTCGTATGGTGAGTCTAGATAACCGGAGACCCTTTTTACTGGAAACGAGGCACTCCATCTTAGTTCTCAGGAGTGACAATACATCTGTATTTTGATTCTTTATTGAGAATAGATGTAAATGTCTATAGGCCACAGCATCCACTTACCATCAGATGGAATGTGTG